GATGAGTTCGAGGGCCCCTCCGCACGCCGCGCGGGTCGCTCCGTGAGCGGCTATTTGACCCCGAAATACGTCGCAGCATCGCCGGTTCTCACCGTAGGGTCGGTGAAGGCGGTGAAGGATTTACGTGGGAGCATAGAAGTAGAGTACAATGGATGTTTCTGGCGATGTTCGCCGATTGCCCCAATAACACGTTGCGCCGTGACCTCTGATCCCTGTTATGCACGGTTAAATAAAAACAAGCAAACTAAAATATATCAACGAGAAAAAAATAAGAACAGCAACTACGGTCATCGTCCGAAACGTCACCTATCATTATACAAAAAAAAACATACCTAATAAGTTCTAATTCTTGGTTTGACGAGTTGACCTTCTGCCGCTGTGCAGTTATAATTCGCGTGGACGCGTAACGTCGCCGCGTTCATAAAGCAATGCGCAGGCAGCAGCATCGTCAGCGGTGGTGGTGATAATAGCAGCTGAGTCGGTTGGCGGGCGTCAGCTCAATACAATGCATAATCACCGGGCGTGCCCGCTCGCCTATTGTGGCTTTGTGTGACGGCACAAAGCTCCTCCGCACTCCACGCACACACCTCGACCGTTGGCGCAAACGCGCGCTTACGAAATTCACACCTTTGGCCATGATCGGCGAGCACCCATCATGGAGGCCCACGTCCTTCGAGACGAGGAAGAGGACGTGGAGCAGTGCCGGTGTGGTGCAGTGTGGCCGAGCGGCTTATCAGGCACCTTGGTCTCCCCCAGCGTCAGACTGTTCCAACCCTGTGGATGTAAGAAGGCCAGGCTGCTTTATTAACACTGAAGCCCTGACAATCGTTTTATTTTTATGTTATGAAAGTGGTACATTTCGATGTTCTTTGGGTGTTTCGGTGAAGCCAAGTGGGTAGATAAAATAATCAAAATCACGACGTTTCGATTGCAACACAAGCAATCGTCGTCCGGTGAAAAAAGAGGACATTTAGCTTTGAAAGTCGCGCATGAGTTCGTGTGTGTTTAACCCCGCCGCGTACATCCGTGGGGTTGGTCAGTGTGCAGTCCACTCACGATGGATGGGAACGGAGAAGGGACACGGGGAAGGGAAGAGAGAAGAGGAGGATTGGGAAAATGAATGGAGAGACAAGAGCGTAGGGTCAGGAGAGGTGAGGATGTGAGGATGTTGATTTTATGTGAGGATTTTTATTTGACTTTCATTCATTTGAACCCATCTACGTGACTTTACCGAAAGACCCAAAGAATAGCAAGAGGATACATCAGGGCCTCGACGCTGCAGCTGCTGCACGGAGCCGCGTCTGTTTTCACAGGGGGCGGAGTGGAGGGATTCAGAGTAGCGGTTGGCTTCACCTGAGTCACGTGATTTACGGGGAAGGTTCAGCTGATTTCGCTATTTATCGATGTTTGCACGGTCGCGCAGGATACCCATTCATATCGAGATCGATGACGGCCTGCGTAGGGTGGGGGCACAGGCCCCTCCCCCCGCTTCCCACGCACGGACGGCATCGGCGCTTAAATCATCGTCACCATTGGCAGCTGTGCACGGCGCCTCGAGCAGGTGACGCTGGGGCGGATGAGCGAGGGGACATCGCCCGCTCGACTGCTCTTCGCCGGGGGGACGGGGGGGGGGTGCAGCTCGTGCTCTGGGCCTGGTATTGAGGGTCACGCTCGCGACGAAAGCAGAAGTCGACACTGGAACGGAGGGGGGGGATGCGCCAGATTTTGCACGTGGGTCTTGTGACCCTGGAAGGATGAGTCGTCGTCATCAACATCATTGAAATATCTAGATTGAAAACGTATTTCCTTCGACCAGCTTTTTGTTTTATAGTGCGCTGTCCTTCCCGCGCACCTCCAAATCGCACGGTTGGCTACGTACGGTGCGAACGAAGTTGAACGTGAATTCGTCAGCATCGGCAGATCGCCCGTGGTTTTGACGAATCTCCGTTACTCGCCGCCGCTGATGCTACATGCAGTCGTGCATACTCAGTTCAGGCTGATTCGACCTAGGGGAGCTTTTGACGTCACTCACCACGAATGTTAGCCATGGCCGGGAATCGAACTCACGTTTGCTGGATTCGAAGGGCCGTGCGCTAAACACCGCTCCACCATGGCCTGTGATTAACCCGCGGTCGTAGGAGCTACGCAAGTTGCAAATCATGGATTGTGTCATTTCACATCAATCCTCTACAGAGACATTCATTGCCCCCACCATCACCTCGCCCGACCGGCCTTCACAGTTTTAAGTGCTGGAGAATTTCCCGGCACACTCGCGCGGATGAACTCTCCCTCGCAAACTCCCCGGGGGCATATGTCTCCCACGTGCTAACGCGGAATTCCATTCATTTTACACAACTGTTTGCAACTGTCAACTCAACAGAAAACCGAGAGGAAATTTCCATAACCTGCACGCCCCTCCTCCCCCGTACCCCCCCTCCTCCACCGCCATAAGATGAGCATGGTGAACATTTTTGATCGTGCTTTTTTTGGCTGTTTTGTACCGAGATCAAATGTCACAGGTTGTACGCACGTCATCATTAATGCCATATAGGCCTCGTGGTTTTTCCTTGCGGTCACAGTGAGCCCTGGGCTCAGCTCTGTAAGAAATTGGCTCGAGTAATTTCTCTGACTGGTGGACTGCTACGCGCGCATCCGCAGCGGCGGCGTCGTCGCTTTTGGGCATTGCAATTGCAGCGCAGAGGTCGGCACGCACGGGTCGATCTCCCGTTGCGGCAGTGCAGAAAAAAGTTTTTGGCTCTTTCTTGCAGGGGCAATTGCTCGCGCACGCTGTAAGAAATTGGCTCGAGTAATTTCTCTTGACTGGTGGACTGACAAATTAACATTCTTGTGATGTAGATATTTTTTTCATTATGACTTCATGATCATCATCAGCATCACCTTCATCGTCAGCTATGATCAATCCACTGCTGGATGAAGGCCTCCGCCAAACCGCTGTCCACCCATCTCTCTCCCAGCACGTTCCTGCCCACGAGCTGATTTCATTGCTTACGGGAATGCTCACCCCGTCAAATAATAATTTACGCATTCAATGCGTGCGGAATCGTGTGAGGATGATTCTGCCTGTGCCGCAATCCAACGACGACAAGAGATAAAGAGAGCAAACGATCAAAAGAGCAAATTTTAAAGTTGCTCTCGTTGGCTGTTGAGTCAATTCCATGAAGAAAACAAGACGCACTATGACGCTATGGACGAGAGAGGGGGCCTCCTTCACACCGTGCCAGTTGTGGTGGCCTCAATTGACCATACTTCACCACGCTGGTTCGGGGCGGGTTCATGAAAGCCGGGGGGAGGGCGGGGGGGGGAATGGATGTAGGGACATAGAGGTTTGGTACAATAAGTGAATTGGCCGCACTGCACTCTGACAACGTGTCGCCTACAGCAGCCTACAACATCAGAGTGCAGCGCCACGTTAAATACGCACTACAATGACAAGAGTTTAAAGCGATTTGAAGCATGTTTTTTGTGGGGGGGGGGGGGGCAGAGCTTTGTGACATATTTGAAGGGGGGGTGGGTCTGACTTTTTGTGACGCCGTGTGACGAGGGGGGGGGGTGTCAAAAATCGTCAAAAATCGCGTGACGTCATTTATGGACGGCCCCTAAACTCCACCAACCGCTACCCCACCACGACCCCAGACCTCCCCCAGAGTCCCCCAGAGCCCCCAGCTCGGGCTCTGTGCAATGTCAATTGCTCAATGAAGCATGAACTGCGCAATTGCAGACGGGCTTTGGTGTCAACACTGGCAACAGCGAGTAAATAAATAATGGGCGACGTTTCGGGCAATGATGCTTTTTCATGCGCTGAGTTTTTGTGTATGTGATTCGTGCTTTATGGCTCATGCACCCACTTGCAGCATATCAGAATACAACACGCTGATGTGCACAACACACGATATACACAACACACGGTATACACAACACACGGTATACACAACACACGATATACACTACACGATATACACAACACACGATACACAACGTACAATATACACAACGCACGATATACACAACACACGGTATACACAACACACGGTATACACAGCACACGATATACACAACACACGATCTACACAACACACGATATACACAACACGATACACACAGACCTATGTACACAACACGTGTTTGCTGCGGTGGTAGTTGTTAGAGTCTGATGCTACGAGGTGTATGCTGTGGGTCGGGTAAATAGTGGGGGGTGGAGGAGAGGGGGTGGGAGGAGGCAGAGTGGGGGGGCTGGAGGGGAGGGTGTAGGGGGATGAAGGGGAGGGGTGGGAGGGGGTGTGGAAAGGGGGGAGGGGTGGGGGCAATGAAGGGGAAAGGGGGGGACTGAAGAAGGGGAGGGGTGGGGGGATGAAGGGGAGGGGTGGGGGGATGAAGAGGAGGGGTGGGGGGATGAAGGGGAGGGGTGGGGGGATGAAGGGGAGGGGTAGTGGGATGAAGGGGAGTGGTGGGGGGATGAAGGGGAGGGGTGGGGGGATGAAGAGGAGGGGTGGGGGGATGAAGGGGAGGGGTGGGGGGATGAAGGGGAGGGGTGGGGGGATGAAGGGGAGGGGTGAGGGGATGAAGAGGAGGGGTGGGGGGATGAAGGGGAGGGGTGGGGGGATGAAGGGGAGGGGTGGGGGGATGAAGGGGAGGGGTGTGTAGGGGGATGCAGGGGAGGGGTGGGAGGGGTTGTGGAAGGGGGAGGGGTGTGTAGGGGGATGAAGGGGAGGGGTAGAAGGAGGCGTGGCCTAAGTTGTCCCTTTAATCTTGTGGGGGGGGGGGTGGGCAACCATCGGCCCCTTCCACCCCGCGCAGCGTCGTCACCACGAGGGAGGAGCGAGCGAGTGAGCGCGCAGCTATTTAAAGGGACGGCCGCTACCGCCGCAGCAGCTGCTGCCGCATCTTCGGAGCGCGCGTGTTCACACCCACCCTCCGTCTACGCTTGTGTCCTCTTTTCCACACACCAACCGCACCCGTGCCGTGCCGTGCCGTCACCGTAGGTCGAGTTCCAATGGCCGCAGCGAGTGAGCAGCAGTCGCGGCGTTTCAGCGTGCTGGGCTGGGAGCAGGTGGAGCGTCTGGACGCCGTGCTGGACCAGAAGGTTCCCATTCACGGCAGGGGGAATTTTCCCACGCTCGAGGTATGGCGGCAGTACACACACACACACTACATACTGTACACACACTGTCTACTGTACACACACTGTATATTGTACACACACTGTCTACTGTACACACACACACTAGCTAATGTACACACACACTACCTACTGCACACACACACTACCTACTGTACACACACACTACCTACTGTGCACATTGTACACACACTACCTACTGTACACACACACTACCTACTGTACACACACTACCTACTGTACACACACTACCTACTGTACACACACACTACCTACTGTGCACATTGTACACACACTACCTACTGTACACACACTACCTACTGTACACGCACTACCTACTGTACACACACACTACCTACTGTGCACATTGTACACACACTACCTACTGTACACACACACTACCTACTGCACACACACTACCTACTGTACACACACACTACCTACTGTGCACATTGTACACACACTACCTACTGTACACACACACTACCTACTGCACACACACTACCTACTGTACACACACACTACCTACTGTGCACATTGTACACACACTACCTACTGTACACACACTACCTACTGTACACACACTACCTACTGTACACACACACTACCTACTGTGCACATTGTACACACACTACCTACTGTACACACACACTACCTACTGCACACACACTACCTACTGTACACACACACTACCTACTGTGCACATTGTACACACACTACCTACTGTACACACACTACCTACTGTACACACACTACCTACTGTACACACACTACCTACTGTACACACACACTACCTACTGTGCACATTGTACACACACTACCTACTGTACACACACACTACCTACTGTACACACACTACCTACTGTACACACACACTACCTACTGTGCACATTGTACACACACTACCTACTGTACACACACTACCTACTGTACACACACTACCTACTGTACACACACACTACCTACTGTGCACATTGTACACACACTACCTACTGTACACACACACTACCTACTGCACACACACTACCTACTGTACACACACACTACCTACTGTGCACATTGTACACACACTACCTACTGTACACACACTACCTACTGTACACGCACTAGCTACTGTACACGCACACTACCTACTGTGCACATTGTACACACACTACCTACTGTACACACACTACCTACTGTACACGCACTACCTACTGTACACGCACTACCTACTGTACACGCACTACCCACTGTACACACGTACTACCCACTGTACACACGCACTACCCACTGTACACACGCACTACCCACTGTACACACGCACTACCCACTGTACACACGCACTACCCACTGTACACACGCACTACCCACTGTACACACGCACTACCCACTGTACACACGCACTACCTACTGTACACACACACGCACTACATACTGTACACACACTACCCACTGTACACACGTTACTTGTACACCAACCTAGCACTTGCCCTACAGTCTGTTGGCCTACACAGGGGAGCTTTGTATTTGTTTCCCCACGTGGTCTAGACTCTCTAGAGAACGCGTCGGTGTGTGGTGCATGTGGTGTGTGATGCATGTGGTGTGTGGTGCAGTGTGTGATGCATGCGGTGTGTGGTGCATGTGGTGCAGTGTGTGATGCATGTGGTGCAGTGTGTGATGCATGTGGTGCGGTGTGTGATGCATGCGGCGCGGTGCGTAAACATCGCCACTGGGGAGACAAAGGCGGCCGGGCGTGGTTCTGGCCACCCACCCCCTCGTGTGCCGCGCCGGCCTTCAAAGGTGCTCCCTGACAGCACTTGCCCCTAGAGTCTGTCGAGGCTACACGGGGGATCTTTGTCTTTGTTCCAGTATGATCATGCGTGCGTGTGTGTATGCGTATCTGTCTTCCCGTACGTGACCTAAACAATTCTCTATCTGAATCTGCGTCTCTTCCTCCGGGGTCATCAGCGGCGCGTGCAGCGCAACCTACGACTTTGTTTCGTGCGTGCGGGCAGTGCTGTGGCCAGGAGCTTCAATACCAATGTCGAGGTCTGCCAGCCACGACGAGAGAGGAGAGAGGGCTTCAGGAGAGAGTTGTTTTGCCTGCCTCGAACTACAGCGGTGTTGCTGTCTAACTTTATGATTAAAAACGAATTCCTACGATTGATCACGGGGCGAATTGCTTACTCGGTACCATCACATGAACAGGCAGAGAGAGACATTTAATTGTGGTGTTGGTGGCAGCATTCGACGCGCACGCATTACGACACTCTAGCCTGCAACAGGCACGGATGGATATCACCAGTTGCGAAATCTCGTTTCATCCCATCTAGCGCATCCACCATGGATTGTGCAGGGCAATGGGGATGTTGCTGACATTTTCACCACCGGCGCAATCCGCTGTTGTGTTGGGGCACGCAACCCGGGCAGAGGGAACTCGCCTGTTATCATCAGCTGGCAGGCCTGCGGCAAAGTTTTGAAAGTGAAATTGCCATGCGGCATTGCATCTCAACCAAACTATTCAATTTAATTTTGCCAGGTAAGGCCCCACCTGAGGTTTCTAGCTCTTTTTCACAAGAGACCTGGCCCACAGATTGATAGCGACGTGGCTTAATCGCGCGGACATTGATAGCAGCCAAATACTCTGAACACGTGGTTGATTCTTCTCGATGTGGAGGGGAAAAACCGGAGGACCCGGAGAAAAATCCACGCGACCACGGGCAGAGAGAGAGAGACACGCAAACTCCAAATATACAGGCGTCGGGGTCGGGATCTAACCCACGGCCTCCTGACTACCGGGCAACTTGGTCAACATTTAATTCTGTTAAACGAAATATATTTTTCAAGTAAAGTTTCTTTAAAACAGAAATGAATATACTAAGGAAAATAATGCTGGGGGTCACAAGATGTAGACTGTGTAGCAACTTTAATGTGAGCACATTTCTCTATGCTGGACATAAACAGTGGGCCTACGCTATGTTTTTTTATGGAGAGAGAAGGGGGACATTTGCTGATAGGTTTTATAATCCAGGCATCTATTTCGCTGTGAGTCTGTGGGTCTCTGTGCGACTCTTATGGATATGCTGTATGAGAGTATGTGGGTCTCTGTGCGAGTCTGGATCTGTCTTTAGTGAGTCCATGGATCTGTTGTGTGAGGTGTAGGTCTCTGTGTGAGTCTGGCTTCTTTTTGTGAGTCTATATAAAATACAGTGTATTATACGCAGCATATAAATGCAACCGCGTCTCAAGACACTGTACATAAAGAGTGCAGCATATTTATTTTCATAAGCGAGGGAGAGGTCCAGTCAGCCACGAGCAGAGAGATACAAAAAAATTAACCCGTAAAAACAAAGTTTTTCACTATAAATCCTTTATATGCGTGGCGGCTAGAGTCCTCTTGTCCTCTGGCTTGAGATGGCTGCCACCTATGGGTCAGATGATTGCCTGGCAGCATTAAGCAATTGGTAATGAAATATAAAAAATTTGCAAATTTTTTTTCACGAAAATTAATTGTCACGCACAACGAGTCTGTGTGGAAAATGTCAGCTCGATTGGATCACGGGAAGTGGGTTAAAAAACGACCGAAAGATTTGCACGGTCGTAAGCGCGCAAGCAAGCAAGCGAACTTAATATAAATGATTAAAAAAATGGGACGTCGTGAGTCTGGATTTGAACAGGGTCAGGGATTCAACAGCACGGATCGCTAGGGAAATGGAGCTCCAGGCTAGAAAGGGCAGCAGACGAGAATGATCGACCCCCCCCACCCACTGATCGATTGCTCCTTTATTTGACCAGGGTGGGAACCCGCCGAGACCCCGAGTATCTTTTTACAAGGGGTGACATGGCACAATGCAAGCAGCAGATTGTTGAGGTCGGAAAGTCTTGGCGGTGTTTCAAGCCCGGGACCCGCTTGAGTTTACCGATCGCAGGGTAAAGGGCTAGAGGAAGCGGGAAACGTCCTTCCCCCCCCCTCTCCTAAGAAGCTATTTGGCCTCCTATTCCGAGCCGGCCAGTCGTATCGCAAGAGGTTGCCCACACTTTACACCACCACACGTGACCTGCGGGTCAACTTAACTGTGGGTGGACACATTTATACAGCTGCTGGGTGGACAGAGGTGCTGGAGGGGAGGGGGGGGGGGGCTTTGGAGCGGGGGGAGGGGGAGATTTAATAATCATGCACCGATGTTTCAACCGCAGTGCCGGGAGATCGAATGAAACCGGCGACCTCTAGATTGCAGGTCCATCTTGCTGACCGCTACACCACCGTCACCGTGGCAGCGTCCAATCGCTGAGTGTCCCACGGGGCCCTTTAAAGTCTCGCCACGTGGTGTTCTCTACGGTAATCGTGTTGTAAAAGAACTACAAGATTGCTAAACGGCTTAAATGCATACAGCAGCGTACAGTGACTTGCATGATTGCCAGATAGTGCTGCTGTGCTTGCAATGACTGTGCGTGTGCCAACGTGCGTGTGTGCCAACGTGTGCGTGCTGGTGTGTGTGTGCGCGCGCATGTGCCAACGTGTGCGTGCTGGTGTGTGTGTGTGTGTGTGCGCGTGTGCCAACGTGTGCGTGCTGGTGTGTGTGTGTGTGCGCGTGTGCCAACGTGTGCGTGCTGGTGTGTGCAATAAGCATTGCTCGGCATGTTGGTTGCCCAACGCTGAGCCGTACTCCGAACCGCCAGGCCTCCCCTGTCAACGCCGATCTCTCTGCGGCTGCTGCTGCTGCATCCTCGGAATCCAGAGCCCAATTCTAATAATAATAATATTTCTTAATGCGCTTTGTTTGCCCATAAAGAGCCTCGCCCAGTCTCGGGAAGAATTTCGTTTTGTTTTCGAGAGGGTGTCGCTGCATTAGCGATGATTTTGGTCAATTTGGCTGGTACCCGCTAACGGGTGTTTAAATCAATCAAGTCTTTATTTCTAGAGCACGATTTCGTGCAAAGGATGCCATTCAAAGTGCTGTACAGATTAAAAAAAAACTAAATTAGCAGAAAACCCCGGCGAAAACCCAACACGAATGGGG